TGCTCCTCTGCTGACTCTGGACCTTTCTGGTTCTCAATGGCAGGAGCAAGAGTGGCCCGTTGTATGGCATGTATTCCCAGGGGTTTCTCCATGTTTGAATGATTCCCACACGTCCGTGGGTGGGCATCTGCAGCCAGTGCATGGTGGGCCAATTGTGTCATTGTTTCTCTGTGTCATGGTAGTTCTCAATTGAGCAGCAGCGGTTCACGTGAGGGCTGGCGCGCAACAGTGCTTGCTGGCGTGTGGCGCCCCCTGTGCCGGGGGCCTCCTTCCTGGCGCCTACGAGGCAGGGAGTGAGCCGGTTGGAAGACTGGCGCTCCCTGCCTGTGACTCCCTGTGTGCCTGGGCCCCTCCTTCTGGGCGCCTATGAGGCAGGAAGCGAGCCAGCCGGAAGACGGGCGCTCCCCGCCTGTGGCTTCCCCTGCGCCAGAGGCCCTCCTTCCGGGTGCCTACGAGGCAGGAAGCGAGCTGGCCAGAAGTATAATGGTTTCTGAAATAAATTCGAGGGACATGATTATCTGTGTCTGGGGAAGGTGCTTGTTAGTAAACTCTAACTACTTCATTTAATTGTGTTTGAACAGTGCTAGGGTGTTAGAGAAAGTATAGTAGCGGTAGTATAAAACACTGTCAAGTGGCAATGAGAAAATAATAATAATAATGATAATGATAATGACAGTAATTAGAAAGAAACCTACAGAAGCAAAGGAGAAAGTTGTCACAGGTTTTAGTTGCTTCTCTAGGGATGGACGACTCAGTGGGAGTCAGTGACTCCTGTGTCTTCACATAATAACAGCATTTAATGATGTATATTCTTGATATTCCTTGTTAAAAACTGCAAAAATAGATGATACTGTGGTTTGTAAATTTAACTAGAGGCCAGATGGTGTTCTAAGGATTTTATCTAAGGATTTAATCAGTACTGCAGCTTTAAAAAATAGTGTTCCCAATTTTTAAAAAAATCCATATTAGTACATGTTTTCAGTATGTGATTATATTCGTTTTGGGGAGTTGGTACATGTATGTAACAATCTTAATTCTTTTTAATTCCCCTTCCTCTCCCTTCCTAATTTTAAGAATGAGAGGACAATGTAAAGCTCAAATGTATGGTCAAATAGGTAGCAAATGATGGAAGTAGAATTTGAATTGAGTTTCTCCTGGGTCCAAGACTAGTTTTATTTACACTACATGGTTAAATGGCATTCTGTATTATTATTTATTTATTTATTTATTTATTGTTTCATTTTTTAAGACAAGGTTTCACTGTGCAGTTCAGGCTGGCCTTCCATTCACTTTGTAGTGCAGGCTGGCTTTGAACTCACAGCGGTCCTCCTGCCTCAGCCTCCCTACTGCTGGGATTACAGGTATGCGCTACCATGCCTGCCTGGCCTTCTGTATTCCTTAAGAAGATAGGAAAATATATACTTATAAAATAAAATATATACTTAAATATGTTAGAGAAGATACAAAGTTGCCTATTTAGACAGTAGGACTATAAATATACTTGCCAGTCTGAAGCCTCAGGATAAACCCAATGTACTGTTTCCAATTCCTGTTCTAAGACTCCTGATAATAGGCAGAGAGAATTGTATATTAGTACTGATCAACTACACACTAATTTCTTAGTTTGTAGCTTTATTTGGCTTAGTAATACTTTTTTTTTCTCTTTAGCAATATTTTTAATCACCCAGTCATGTTACCCCTTGTGTCTTCCACATCACACTTTAAAACCTTTTTTATTCTCATTAAGGTCCCAAGCCTACTCTCCTATTTCTCTCTCTTAGCAGATGGGCTGTTACCTCATCAAGAAAATGGAAATCTTCATGTTGAGAAATTCTTCAGCTGGTCTGTCTTTGATCTTGTGGAATAAACTCTTATTTATTCCAATTCTTCACCTCCCCCAATCTTGCCATGTCTAAACTGAAGCAGAACATGAGTCTGTCCCATCCTACAAGTTACACATCCTTTTTTTCTCTTTGTGTATTCATCTTCCAAGAATTTATCTTGACTTCTTTTGTTGCTTTCTACTGATTTCTTGCTGTTTATGTATAGGTTGTTGTTCTTTTATGAAATCCTTGGTAGAAAATCCTTTCTGTAATTTTCCTTCATGTTTCTTATATCTCTATATTTAATATAATATTAAGTTTTTATTGAGTAAGCCACTTTGATAAACTACAGCTGTAATATTGCAGTGAGAATTTTAAAAATTGTTTTGCCTAAAAAATAGGCAAAGATTAATTAAAAATATTGTATAGGCTTGGTGGAACATAATGGAAACTGAAAAACACCAAACACTAACTTTTGAGCTAGTTATGTGGACTTCATTCAGACATTAAGTGGAACGTGTGTAAGTTTGAAGTAGGAGAAGAAGGAAGATTCATCAGGAGAGGGTGTTAAACATGTTCTCATGGCCTCGTCACGTTTTTGTAAGTTGAATTTCTTTTCAGTGTGTTAACATGTTCTTAGTAGCCCTGTGCCGTTATGTGGTTATGTAATCTTACTGTGGGTAATAAAACAGAGAGTATTCTAATTTCTAAGAGTATATTTCATCAGACAAAAAGAAGAGTCACTATTTAATTTCTGAGTTACTATCTGTTCATAACAAAAACAGATGACCAAGGCAGGCTTGACCACAGGTGTTAAAGTTAGTTGTGTGTCATATTGAACTCTTAAAATATGTTTTGTTATTTCATATTAATTTATATAGGGAAAAAAAGAATATGCAGTTAAAAATATTTTTGTTCTGTTACAGGCTGCTGTTAAATCTAAGAAAGCTACAGATACCTATAAACTGTATGTGGAAAAATATGCATTAGCAAAAGCTGATTTTGAACAGAAAATGACAGAAACAGCTCAGGTTGGTATTTTCTTTAGATTGAAAACAGAATACTTATATTTGTACATGCTAATTAAATAGAATTTTTCTCTCATATAACTTTTTAGTATTAGAAATTTTAAGACACAATTTTGACATTTTACTAATGCTACTTAAAAATTTACATCTTGTTTGTGAGCTTGAAAACCAAGATCTAATAATGATAATGTCATAAGGAATTATTCAGATAGATCAAAAGAGAATGTTGAAAGGTAGATGAGGAAAATGAAGGCCTTGGTAGATGATAAATACAATGTTGTTAGACTTGGGTGTTGATTTTAACCTGTATTTTTGCTTGAGAAGAAAACTGGAAATTACTCAATGTTGAGTCTATACCAGTAAGTAAAATAATGTAAAAGCCTTCTCATAGAATTTTAGATTGTATTAGGGGAAGACAGACAATAAAAAATGTTTTTCATAAGCTTGGGATAAATTATATCTAATTTGGGGTTGTCAGAGCTCTAGTTTAAGACTTAGTTTGAAGTGGGTGCTTTCATGAATGCTACTTAACATTTCTACCTCCATCCTTCTTACCTTCTTTTTGTTTAATTTTCTTCCTTAGCACCTGTCATTATCTAAGATACCAGTAATTTCATTTTTTGTATTAGTTAGGGCAGATTGAGTATGCTAAGTTGACAAGCACCCAAAAATCTCAGTAGCTTACTAGCAAAGGTTTGTTTCTCAATGCTGTGTGTTCATCTCAGTGGGCTGCAGCTGTAGTACTGAGCTTAGTAGTTGGAATCTTCTTGTCTGAGGGACTAGAAACAGAGAAGCTCACTGGCTCCTCTCCACACGTTATTTATTGCCTCTCTCCACCACAATGTATGTTCTGTGAGAGCAGGAATTGATTGGTTTACTGCCATAGCCTCAGTTTTAAAGATAGTTTTCAGCTCTGCTGGGCATTCAGTAAGTATGAAAGAAGAACTTTATAAATGTGGCATTTTGAATTTAGTTCTTCTGTCTTTTCTCACTTGAAGAAGTGAATGACTCACATCTCAGAAACCAGCATGCTTGCATGCTTCTATGTATGCATGCAGATATCCATCTGTACCTACATATTGTAGGCACTGTGCTAGATACATAGAGCGTATATGTTAATCAACACAAATAACTTCTTGCTCTAGATAGAATTTAAAGTACAGAGAACTGACATACACATTAAATACTTGCTTAAACATAAAGTTAGAATTTAATAAAAATATTCTAAAGGAAAAGACTATGCTTTCATAAGGTAGAATATGGGTGACCTAACTTGTTCGGGAGTCAAGAAAGACTTTTTTGGAAGAGGTGACCTTTAAAACTGAAATTTGAATACTGAGTAGGAGACTAAGGACAAGAATGTTGAAGCTTTGGGACCATGGATATGAAGGCCCCAGTGGGTAAGGAGACACTGCATTGCAGCAAGTGAAAAATACATACTAAAACAGAATTGTGGTGAGATGGTGGGGAGAAATGAGAAATGGAGATGGTTGAAGAGAAAAGCAAGGAATAGGTTTCTGTAAGGATTTAGGTTTTCTTTTTGTTTTTCTACCTCCCTGTCCCTTTTTACTTTTTATTTTGAGTCAGGGTCTCATTAAATTGCCTACTCTTGCCTCTTAACTTGTGATCCTTCTGCCTCAGCCTCAAGTAGCTAGAAGAGTACAGGCATGTGCCACTATGCCTAGCTTCTATAAATGTGCTTAATTGTTTATGTGTTGTTGGAGTTAAAGCCAACAGAGCTACATTTGTAGCCCCATTTTATTTATTTACTTTTGGTTCTCTCTCCCTCTCCTGCCACTTCTCCTCCGTCACCCTCCCCCTTCTCTCTTTCTCCCTCCTTTCTCTTTCTCCCTTTCTTTCTGTCTCTCCCTCCCTCCTTCCATCCCTCTCTCTCTCCCTCCCTCTCTCCCCATCTCGTTCTCTCTCCTTCTCTGTCTCTTGTTCTCTCTCTTTCTCCCTTTCTTTCTTTGTCTTTTTTCTTCTTTCTTTCCTTTCTTTTTTCTTTCTTTCTTTCTTTCTTTCTTTCTTTCTTTCT